TCTCCCTTTCCCTGAATGGGTTTCTCCTCTTCATCATCTCCTGGAAGTTTGAGCTGCAGCTGTTGGCGACGTAGCACCTGATCATTTGCAATGTTGGCTTGGGTTGGCTTGGTTGTGTCTAAAAGTGGCCTAGAAATAAACCATGAATATCACAAACAAAATATACAGAAACTTGTATAAACTGAGCCACGGTTGGAGTTGAAGGTATCTCTTGAAAACCTTTCAAAGGCAGGTCGCTGTCATACTGCTTGACAAAGTCATCCATGAGAGGGTGAACTTGTGTGTCTACATCATCATTTCCATATGGTTGCGACTCATCAACAACGAGGGCACAGCTTGAGCTCGCTCTGGAAAGTGATTGTTTGGCTCGCCTCACTACCAGCTGTTCAACAATTTTCAACATCCTTAAATGTGTTTTTTGTTTAAGTGTTCTACCTACTTGTTGACATCAACCACATAAGTAGGGTTTGCCTTGCATTTGTTTGGGGGACAGATCCAAACCATTGCTGAAACAGTTCTCAAGTAGCATAGCAGTACATGTCTTCCTGGCAGCATCAAGTTTCGCTTTCAAAGCCGCAATCTGCTCACTTCGTTGCTCTTCTGTCATGGGTTCATCCAAAGACACAGAGTTCATCTCGAAAGTATTTGTGTGAACATCTTCATGATCTTCTTCGTGGAAAAGCTTCTTACAAGGCAACGGGCTGTCCACTGGGCTCTCCACCAAGTCAATGACTCCAAGCTGAGAAGGATCATGGGAAGGTTCATCAAGAACCAGTTGGGAACCATGGGAACTTGGCTCTGGTGGATTAGGAGGCTGAGACTTGGTCTCATCATGCCCTTCATGAGCACCATCACGCTCTTCCTCCTCCTCCTCCTCCTCCTCGTCTCCCTCACTTTCTTCACCCGCCTGTGTGTCTTCGCCCTCTCCCTGCGTGGCTTCCATGAGTGGGTCCTGTGGACGTTGGAAAGGCAAGGGTTCAGGGTTCAGGGCCTTGACAAATATAGAAAATGTTAAATGCAAAAACATGCAAAAACCATTGGAACAAACGTTCAAGGAAAAACATTCACCAAGATTGGACAAAGGCAGGACATATCTATTTTGGACAGAGTATCCTTCTCATCTGGGTCGTACACCAAGCTCATCAACCGCCTAAATAGCTCCGACCTTGGGACTTGTTGCCTTTGAAGCTTCCGTTTCACCAATCCGAGAAATTTCTTCAAATTCTTTGCATCCTTCTTCAGCTCCTTCTTGTTGGGAGGAGCCAACTTCATGAGAAGGTACACCCTGTTGATCCTCACAGTGAAATATGTAAAAATTAATGTTTGACAGCTGTGTAATGGAACACCTTTACTTTACAAATCAAAAGGGAAACAAAAACATACAGGTGAGTGAGTGCGAGTGTCTGGACTAGCATGTCTGGAACTGAATGCATCCCAACATTGCCATCTTCATCCAGGAGGCGGCGAACAAGAGGTTTAAGGACAGGATAGTTTTTCTCGGCAAAGTCAACGTTAATCTTCACATCCTCATCCCAGGCCTCTTTCACCAACAACCTCTTAGTCTCCCTCAGGTGGGCCCTAATCCCATCATCCATTTCCCATTCTTTGGCTATCTCAGCCAGGCTGGGCATGACCCCTTTGCCCATGTGACTAAGCACCAAAAAAAGAAGGATAAATCGACAGCAGCCTGAGCCAAAAGCTAGCTTTCAAACAAAGAAACCGCTCAATGTTCCAAATAGGTTTGCTCAATGTTTCTAGAGTTGAACTTCACAACTCAACACTCAACACTTTCCACCATAGCCCCCCAGAGTCTGTATATTCTATGTTGTGTTTTAATAGATTAGTGACATTTATGAGATCTATATGCCCTCTTTGGAGTGCAACAGCCAACCGAATGGAGCGGCTGAGGCCAAGCACGTGAGCAAAGTCGATGCTCACAATGATGTTCGCCCGACTAAAATGCTGGGCGATGCTCTGCGGTGGCGCGGAGAGGGGAAGATTGGTGATATGTTCAATTGAAATTGCAATGATCAAATGTGACCTTTACCAAAACATGGTCCTTGTCAAATTACGCCCCTGGACATCAAAATCCAGGATTTCATACTATGAACCCATAATATGGAAGTGACCTCTAAAAAGAAAGGACATCTGAGACCTAGGTATATATATATACACATCCAGACGGGTTTGCTTAAGACTGTGCGCGTTTTAAACCTCACATGTACATTCATACGCTATTTGCATTTTTTTGAGCATCCGTTCGCGGAATTTAGCGCGGAAATTACGCGTATTTACCGCGCATGTTTTCATCGGTCCATGTAAAACGCGCTGTAGATTCGACTTCAGAACTGTGCCATGATTCGGAGGGTTTTGGTCGGATGGCACGTTAACGTTCGGTTCAAGTTGCACGCTCATACAGAAGAAACCCTTCTACGTTGCTACACAATACTAGTACTCGTGCTGTGTCGCGCATACATGTTTGCTTGCACACCTGAGGTCGAGGTCCTGGTCTAAAGAAACGCGATTTGTCTTCCCCAAAAAACGTGAACACGTTTAACAAAAAAAAACGTGGTGTTTTTCACAAACGTGTCACTGTCTTACATAAAACCCGTGAGGATATATATATATATACACAAAACGCTTCGCGTCGTAAAGAGTGTCGCTCCCCTGGGGTGAGCTGAAACTTTGGCGGCAAGTATGGCAAGTATGCACAAATATAGGCAACAACTGCAGATATGAGCATACTGAACTTGCCATACTATGCATATGGCAACAACTTGCCATACTATGCATGAGTGAACATCGAATCTTTTGCTGAACCTATGCAGGACCACTGGAGATAGATTTATCATGCCCCATGTTCACTTCGAAGAGTTTACTCGTGCATGCCAGGCTAGGGTCTGATTTGTGCCCTCTATACTGTACACCAATATAGGGTATCTTGCTGATTCTTTCTGTATCCATTCTACTCATGGCTTCGTCGCACCACTGGTCATGATTGGTCTCCTTGGTGTCTGCTCGCTGGCCCAGCTGCACCCTGGCTGACCATAAGCAGCTCCAGCCCATTGTTCCAGGCCCACGCTGGGGCGCTCAGAGTCTCTGCAAAGCTGAGACACTAAGGCCTGCCAGGGAGGGAAGCTAAGAGAGGTTGGGACCTCAACTCGAACCTTCGAGATCCTTGATGCATAGCCCAGTCCGCCAAGTCGATTCATCAACCTGCTTTGAAGGATTTGAGCCAAATGACACCAAACAGTATGCAAAGTGAGGGTATTCTTCTTTAGCCAATGAAGCCAACCGGCATAAAGAATTCTTGGCCGATGGTTTTGCTGGGAAACAAGTGTGACAATCTTCACCAACCTACTGGACCTACTGTCTTAACATGCCGTGTTTCGACCAACATGTTCCCATGCCTCAGCATGATTACAAGCTAATTTATAAGTCAAAAGAGAGCCGCAACTGTGATTGCCTGAATCTGGTCAAACACCCACCACGGAACCTTTGATCTTCCTCCTGTTCCTTATCTTTCTCCATCTCAGTTTGGGGCCCAGTCCTCTAGGGCTTCATCAGGCAAAAGCCAAAAGCCATAAGCCTTTGCTCCTTCCTGGAGGAGATCCTTCCTGAGCTGCGGCAAGGCCGAGGGAAATCCTTCAGCACAGGCAAAAACAACCGTGTAAAGAGCCCCCAACAAAGGGGTCGTTGTTGTGGATTCCTTTTATATAATCAGCTCCCTGTCGGTTTATGTTGGCGTTTCTCCTAGTTTGAGACAACCTGTTCTCCCACTCCCCAAGAACGTTTGCTAAGACTTACTGCGAAAGATTGAACAAATAATAAGCACATATCAAAAGTATACACACTCTGACCCACCAACATCGAAGTGGAACATCGGCAGCCGGGAAAAAAGAACATGTTGCTCCACGAACAGGTGGTTTTCCACCGTCCATGTCACAAAAGTGTCGGTGCATTGTCAGCATGTTGGTGACGTCTGGAACCCCTGGAGGCCTTGTTGAAGTCATCTGAGCCCGTCTTGTTTTACACCCCCAAAACTCACCTGGACCCGGGTTGAATGGGACCCTGAAAGACCTTGTTCTTCCCCTGCAAACCAGTGGTTTTCAGGGTCCATGTTAGTTTTCCACGGGGTGCGTTTCCTGGGAGTTGAGCGTACGCCGTGGGTATCAACGTTATGACGGCATCTGCGATGCAAGCCGCAACCGGCCCAAACACACCGAAAACCCACCCCCATTCACCAGCATCTCATCGGGCAAATCCTTTCGACATGTTACCAACCAGTGGTCAGTCTCGAAGTCCTTCGTGACTTTCTCAATCATCTCTTATAGTCTCATCCAGTCAATTGACACATCGACAAGTTCTTCCAAGCATCGCCTGTGCGCGGCTCACGCCCTCCAGCGCCTGGATGGCCCGTTCCCAGCGATTTTCACGGAAGATCCCTTCCGCGATCTCCGCCAGCTCCGCTGGGCTGAAGCTTTTCGGCAGTATGGGCGGGGCATGGCGGTAGGGGGGCTGCGGCATGGATCTGAGCCAAAGGGCTTAGGGACATGGAGAAGGATGATCATCCCTGTGCATAAAGAGGTCCTAGATTGATCTCCTGTTCAGTTGCCCATAAAACCATTAATAAAACACATATATACATATATATATATATATGTAATAATATGTATACTTGTTGCTTGCCTGAGGGCGCCTCAACTCAATAGACTTTGGAACGTTGGATCAAGTCACCGAAGGTTGGAACAGGTTGGAAGCGCCAGATCAAGGTGCTTGGCCCATTGAACTGAGTGAAGAGATTGCAAATATGCGAAGAGATGGTATGTCCGCTAGATTCTGTGGGATGCTACCTCGCGTTCCGCTCATCAAAGCATGACAGAATCCGAGCAGCATTCAGTGTCCAAATTATCTCATGTGAGCCTGCAATGACATTTGAATCAGGAACCTCGCAACTTTCAGGACACTCCATGCAAGCGCATGCACTCTGGGGTGGCCACGGTGGCTGGAGCCTGGCAAGGCTTAATCACATCACAGCATTGGATTTATGTTGGTTGAGCCTACGAGTGTGGCCAGTATTGAGGGCTCCCACATATCACTAGCACAAAAAAACACATGTGAACAGAAAACCATGGAACGCCCCAAAAACTTGTGAGTCTAGTGTCCACCTATAGTGGTTCCCTACTGTGCTCAACACAGGTGGTCCTCCATTTTCTGTCCATACCAGCCATCTGCGACTAGTTCACCACCAATGCGACATACTCTACAAATGACTCAATATCCGATCTACTTGTTCTTGAATCAATCCAAATGCTTCACCCATGACTCCCATGGAGTGCTCCGACCCCCAGCCCTCAGTCGCTCCAAAACAGCTGCCTGCGCGGGCGCAGCTAGTGCAGTTGCTTGGAGCGCCGCAGGGGAGGTCGAGGCACCTTCTATCAGCTGCGGCAGAGCCAGACCTCAACAGCAAAGGACTTGAGAGCCACATGACATGTCACGTGACAAAGGACTTAGACATTTGATGAATTTGGTGAATGTGCATCGAACCAGGTAGATCATAGTAGATCTAAGATGCCAAAGGAGCTGGATGTCCCTGAACACGTACAAACCCATCAGCAAATATCTTTGTGTCCATTGCTCCTGGCGCGCTCCTGGCGCTCTCAGTTCCCCAGATTTGTCACCCACCAACGTCAACACTCAGGACGATGCAAACCTTCAAACATCCTCAAACCTGTTGGCCGAAACTAAGCGCCCCACTGAGCTGTGCTGCTAGGAGTGCCTGAGCTGTGCTGCTCCAAGGAGGGCCACTCCCTGACTGCCCATTCCGGTACTTCGAAGGCCGTACACAAGGGGTAGGATGGCATAGGCATAGCTTGACACGTGTGATTCCATCCATCTGCACGAAGTGGCATTTTGGGATGCCAGCCTACACTTAAGGGCAGGACCAATTGCATGAGCCTCGCTCTCAAACCACTTGATCTTCAAACTCTAAATTCACTACTGCATGGCAAAGCCCCAAAGAAGCAGCGAAAGGAAAACTCTTTAAACATTGGAAAACGCTTCTATCTGCTTGTTGCCCACTCAGTCATTGGCCTGAACAAAATCCGGATCACACTTGGCAAAGTGCACAATCACAAGTCTGAGCTCTACAAGTTGCTCTTTCCAAATTTAGCCCAGCTCCGAAATGGAGCAGTAGTAACCTTCAAGGGACCATACTGACCCCCACACACGTACGGTGATACCTTCAAACAGCATGCATCCTTCAACCGGCCCAACTCACCCTGCCATCCGAGTCACCGTGTCTGGCCTCATTTGGTTGCAGCAAAATGCTGGAACATGCAGCCCGAGGCAAGCTCGAGTGACAGGGAGCTCGGTAAGCCAATATCCAACTGTTCGGACAACTGGCCCCCACAGCCAGGAGTAAGCACATATTGGTTGCAAAGGCTATCCAAAGAGAGAACTTGGATGGGTTAGGACCTGTTCATAGTGGGCATAAACCATTGGAGGCTCAATTGGCAAGGATAAATTCAGGCTTACCATGACTACATTGACTACATATCCTCGTTGACCTAAGTACTGCCCAGGAGACCTTCCACATTTGATGGATGAACCAAGTGACATTCCCCTACATCATTCTACAGCTGTATATCCTCAAAGCCAAGTCCTGACGGTCAAATGCGCTGTCTTCTGCTTTCCCCACACCCCACACCTCCTAGAATTCGACCCCACACCTCCCCAGATACTTCAAACATCTCAAAGTCCACAGCACCTGAGTGCCATCACCTGGGTACCCCCGACATCTCGGGCAGCTCCGGAGCGGCCGGAGCCTCCGAAGCGGCCGGAGCCTCCGAAGCGGCCGGCACCGGAGGCGGCGCCTTCATCCTGGGCGCGACGCAAAAGGACCGGACCAGGCATACACCCCATGGCACTGCCCCATGACTGGTATCTACTGTTGCTTTTCATGCTCTTTTTGCACACATCTCATAAGCCTGGGCTCCAATTCCACAGAATCAGACATGAGTTAATTGTCAGCAAGTCCCATGTGTATATCATGAGTTTCTGTTTTGGGGCATACTTGGCTCCAACAAACCTACGTCTCTTTCACCATGAGGTGATATTCCTGTTCGTTACCCTTGGCACACTTATGTGGACATCGGCGTGCGCGGCGTATCTGAACATGCACGTATCTACTGGGAACTGTGCGCATGTTGATGGTCAGTCTTGGAGCAAACAAGTTGATAATGACTGGTAAATGATTGTATTGTAGCAGTGCAACTCTGAGAGGGGCTGTTGTTCAAAAAAGTGGCTGTTCCAGGTGACCTCTGCACCCTCTTGTGGTGGCCATCTACATTGTAAGATTGCTTATGATTGCCTGGAGCCTTGGAGCATTTGGAATTCCAGCCCATCATACATGCACAGCCCAAACAACTCCACATTGATGTAAGGAATGTGGATATGATTGGATATGAACAACCAAAAAGGACATGGTGACATTTACTCACCTCACGCAACATAGGGGAAAACCACACACAAATGAACACTGAGACTAATTATGTAGCATTTTTCTATGTATATCACGGCAGACTCGACATCCCGGGACGATGGAAATCAAATACTACGACCGGTGCAACGGTCCAAGGGGCTGATACCCCGTGACGCTATTGATGCCATCCGGCCTTGGAGGTGTTGAAAGGGGGGTCCGTGGCGGTTGGAGTGGTCAAGGGCGGTTGGAGTGGTCCGTACGGATGGGGTTGGAGGAGTTGGATATGGTTGAGTCGTGCTCAGTGCTTGTAGATGCTTGTAGCATGGTGTGGAAGCGGTGGCAACTACATTGGTGCGGGAGCAGTGGATGATACTTTGAGAAAGCCATAACTTGTAGTACCATAGAATTTGCTGCATCACTTGAATGGCTCATTGACCTCTGTGGGGCGAAGCACTTCTAAGCCAAACGACCGCTTCCCGGCTACAGCACAGCTCTGTGGTAGCTGGGCCCAGCTACATCCAAGTCCTTTTGCTCTGCTAGCTCCGAGGTTTGGCACAGCTTCAGCATGGCCGCAATGCTGGACCAAGGAACCAGGATCCAATCTCATCCCAAAAATGACTCTATAGCTCAATTTCTTGTGCTTACTCCCGGTGATTGCTCAAGAGTGCAAACGGATGTGGCCATGCCGCCTGGAGGGCTCTGTCGGTTTTTTTGTGGGCATGTTTGACCCATCTGCTATTTAGGTGACTTGGAGCTTTCATGCGAATCACCAACCGCCGTCGCGGCGCAGGGTGATTCGCATGCCAGGCGAATCAGAACTGACGGACAAGACTTGGATCCTGACAGTCGGAGAAATAAACACATTTCTCTCCTGTTTTATCTCCTTGATTGATCAGGAAAATCGAGATCCTGTGAGTCAAGTCTGCCATATCATGGTGAAGAAAAACAAGCATCGTGAGCATGTTACTGTAGGAGCCTCATGAGTCACATTGTCATCCTGATGTGTTCATTGGTTTCCCTCTTCATCTCCCATTGGTTTCCCTCGTCTCCAAGACTTCTCAACAAGTCTGTTTAGTCGATCGGTTTCGTATGGTGTCTGCTTCGCCCCGCCCTTCGGTGTTTGAGCGCATCTGCGCCGCTCTCGGCTTGGAGACCGCTGTGGGTTGACATTCGAAACGAGTCTCTCTTAAATTTGTGTGTTTTGTCTTTGCAGCCCTTTCGTGGCTGAAGTGTCAAATGCTTAACGCTCAGGCGATTTCGGATGTTCAACGCATGCCATAGACCTTGGTCCTTGGCGTGCAAGGATGCCGCCGATGGTGGCTGTCAAAGGGTGGTCAAAAAGGTTGGACTGCTTTGACGTTGTACTGCTCTAACGGCGGATGGTTGCAAAGGACTAAAAGGTAAATAGGGTTTTCCCCCAACCTTCTTGGGGACACCACCGTGCTCATGCCATTTCATGCTCGCCGTGTGCTGGGAACGCGGCACTCGCACACTGACTACTACCTTTGTCCAATGCAAAGGCCAAGGGCCAACCTTTTGCTCGTAGGGGGGTGCTATAGCAAGTTCATGTTTGCTCCCCAGCCAAAACATAAGTCCAAGGGTTGGTTGCCAAACAAAAGACATACATTAATGCAGTTGAAAATGACTGCCAACATGTTCAGGCAGTTCAGGAACTGTTCTTTTGACAGCATTCCCAACACCCCATTGAACAAGGCAGTTTCGAGAAAAAACAGTTGAAAGAAAGACACAACTACCACATCCATCTCCATCCCCCTCTTGTGAAAATCCCAAGTCTTCAGAAGTTGACCGAGTAGTCAAAGAAACCAACCATGTGGAAAACATGTTGAAAGCAAAGAAAAACATCACTAATAGGAGGACCCCCCTTCCCCGGTTCCTCTTCACCAATGAGTTCCGGATTGTCCAACGATCCTCTCAGGCAGCCTCCCAACCCAACGTGCCCAGTGTCAAAAGATGCTGGGGGGGGGGGCAAAACAGGGGGGGGCAAAACGAACTGGCTGCGCAAGGGATCTGGCATTGATTGCGGTGGCATTTCAGCAAAACGTAAAAAAAGAGATTTTCATCTGCAAACATGCACAACATCTCTTAATAAGAGATTTTCATCTGCAAACACAATGGTACAAACCATGTGACCGGTATGTAGTGCTTAATAAGGCCAGCATAAGGGTTGCCAAATTTGCAAAAACATGCTCTCATTTACTAATCCTTACTAGTCTTTAATAAGCCTTTTGTACATCTTACTATTTGACATTAAGTCCTATCTCTTTCAAATCCAGCTACCCCAATAAGCCCTATATCTCTTGTCTTATGTTTTGCCCCCCCTGTTTTGCCCCCCCCCCGCATCTTATGACAGTGTGCAAGCGCCTCTTTTCAACTCACCTCGCTGAAGAAGGCTTCTGCCTCGGATCTTCGCTCCTGCAGGATGCTGAAGAGCTGCTCCCGCGTCAAGCCATAGCCGCCCTTGGGAGGAAAACCCAAGCCAAGCAAAGTGAACCACCTCCGGAGGAAATAAATGTGCAAATGCAAGGTCCTCGGAGCGGGCGCCAATGGGCATCAAATAGCAGGTAGCCGCAGGTAGCTATTTTGGACTCTGCTCACAGTCACTGAATTTGAGTCAGGAGATGTCAAACTGTCACGAACAGCACAAGTCATGGGCATGTATAAACGTTGCACAGCTACGTGTGCATGCCTTTCGCTGTCCTACGGCCGGCCTTTGACCAAACACTGTCCCTTCTCTTGAGCGAAGGCACGCTGCTTTCCAAAGAAGGTTTCATGAAACATGTTGGACTGACACTCGCCACTCCCAAAAAAAGCCCATGGGCTATAGCTCTATCCCCAAACGGGCCATCGTCGCAAAAGAAAAAAAAACATCAAAAAACGAGCCTTTCGTCTTCACCCTTGTCTTCACCTCCGAGGTTCTGCGAGAATCCTCGAAGCAATCTCAAAAGGATTTCCTCAGCCAAGTCATGCCAGCAAAGTCCAAACATCTCCAGCGCCTTGCATCCCTGGCAGCCCAGCGCCAAGCAAGTCCATGTATCCTGCGTTAACTCGTCCAGGTCTTGCTGCGTGAAGCGTCGATTCCTTTCCAACAGAGACCTCAAGTCCTTAGAGCCACACATCAGAAAAAATCGGCGGAAAGGGCTCCGTCCTCAAAACGTCCGCCCTGAAAAGGAGGGTAAACTTTTTGGGGATAGTACGACGGTCAAAAGAAGGAGTATCAAGTAGAAGTGGCCAACTACAGGGAAGCTTTGTCATAGTCCAAGCAAAGTGCTGTCTAACATCCTCTAATTATGTCCAAACTGCGAAGCCCAAGCGTCCGGATCGACAGTCCCCAAGTGCTCCAGCGTGCGCATCCGCTGGAAGAGCTGCAACATCGTCAAGGGGCGGTGTCGGTCTCCCGGGTTCCAAAAGGCGTTGTCGTGAAAGAGGCGACCAAAGTCACCTAAAACGGCTGCCGACTCGGCAGGGACCGAACAAACGGCAGCTCCGCGAGGGGAGTTGAAGAAAAGCTCCAAAACAGTGAGGGGACGTTGAAGAAGGTGCCGGAGGGGGGGAATGTTGAATAGGTGTGGGAAGGTGATATGTGATAATATCCTATATATTCCTACATAATATCTGATATAGCTGCTTGGATAGAATAGCATGAACATGCACGAAATGGTTTGTAGAATGCAGTCCCATCTGATACCAAGTGAGTCGATCATGAACCTCTACTTGGCAGCGGGCGCCTCAGACTCAGTCTGCGAAAAGCCTGTGATTCATTGGGGATTTTGAGGCCAGGGGCTTGTTTAATCTAGAGTCCTGAATCTTCAGCCTGAGGAGCCTCATTGACTGGAACCTGTTTGGTGGCTATGTGGGTCGTGTCCACCTGTCGAGACACCTTGAGGATGTTCAAATGTGGAATCCAAGAACACCAATGGGTACCCCGAGTGTTCTTGATAGTTGTTATTTCATGATCGAGACGGACGAGCACTTGGTCCAGTAGGTAGCCAACATGCATGGAACAGCTTCGCCAACTATATAGCTGCTAGTAGATTTAGAGCCTGACCCTTCCTCGACGCTGTGAAACCACAAGAGGCACCCAAGATCTTGTGATTAATTCAGCACTCCTCCCCATGCACTCCACTCCACCGCTGCAGCCCAGTCCTTCCCTTCCCTTCCCATCACCTCGCCTCGTAAACAAATATCTGCATCCACTTGGTGGGCCTCCACTGCATAGGACAGCCACGGCAGCAGCTGTCGAGGTGCTGCTGAATAGTGCTGCGGGCTAGCACCGATAGTAGGAGGCGTGCTGCGGTGCTGCGATGCCAGGCGTTCGAGGATCGTGCGCCACCAGGGGACGGAATTGGGGATGGGATAGTACCTGTGCCTGGCACAATTGAAAACCTACAGGTCACCGGCTTGGGCCCACATCCACTCAATGAATTGCGAGCTTCTTCACCATCGCTGGGACAAGACACAAAAAAAAAGGAATGGTTGCCACACTTTTGTGATGAAGCTGGAAGTCAACCGCTTGGAATGATCGATATATCTAAGTTTCTCAGTAGTAGGCTGCCCTTTCAGGCAACTGTGTTGTCCGCGTTTTTCTCTCTCTCTCTCTCTCTGTCTCTCTCTCTCTCTCTCAATTTGATTTTCAATTTCTGCAGCTTGTCAAATCACCAGTGACCAGGGCACTGGATGCTCTGTTCTCCATAGTAGCCAGGATGGAGTGCATCCAAGTAGAGCGTGGCACGCAAGGTTTCCGGCCCATTGGCTTCAAAGTCCATCTCATGTGTCATGGATTCATCGAACCAAAAGCACTTTCCAGGCTGATAGACTCTGGGGCGTTCGCCTGAGATCTTTGTTCGCCGGTGGGACACTTGAAGTTGCTTGAGGGACATCTATGACAGCATGTGCAAAAATGTTCGATGTGGGCACAGCATGGCTTGTATAAGTCAGAGTCAGCACCAATAGTCGGGATGCCAGTGCCCATGTCTGGGCAACACCCCCATTAGATTCTTTTGAAGCCGGTTGCCCCATAACCTTGGGATGTTCATTCACTCACGGGAAGCCAGGTAACCCAGGTGGAAGGAAACGTGTGATGAAAAGCAAATCCCCCCAACTACCAGAACATTGAAGTGCTTGTCTATTTCACATCTGTTCTCTCTAAATTTGATCTGGCCAAAACTTAAACAGGGAGATGGTGAAGTCACTCAATCGATTTCGCATTCCCAGGGGAGAAGTGTGTGATGATGTGTGATGCGTATTCCGTCATACACCTTGTCACTGTTCAAGCTCAGTGTCCGTGTCGACCGTCCCAACGGGCCGGTCTAACCGGTCCGAGTGACCCTCAATGCGAAGGGTCGAACTGGTCTGTGGAGAGACCACCAGGGTACACGAGAGCCGCATCCGTCCGATCTCCGGCGAGGCGTGTGGCTGGATGTAGACGTGTCGTCGATGCATATCGCTCGCCTCCTTAGACCCAGCAGCGTTGCACCGGAATCCAGCAAAGCAACTCAAAAAAATGGACTGGTCACGGTCACGGTTTTTTTCTTCTCCGGGGTTGGGGAGGCTTGAAAGAAATGGACTGGTCTGCAAGGCTTGAGCATCCACTTCAGGACTTCCTGCTAGTGATAGGGAAGCACGAAGTAAACGAAGGCCCTTTTGCTCCATCTCTTGCATTGCACGACAGGTCTTGGGAACCTTCACACACTCCGAGAGGAAGTGGCAATATTCGAACATCAGGAAGACATACCTAAGCCATTCCATGGAAAACTCTGCACATGCTGCACAGCTTATTACCGGATCTTGCTTATCCACTGCCAGAAGAGATGTTTGCTTAGAGTTAACTTAAAAACCCGACAGGATAGGATTCAGCGGCTTTGTTCAGCAAGCTTCCCTACACACAAGCAGGCCGCACTACTACAAAAGGGCGTTCCACAAACCTGCGAAATAGGAAACAAAGCCCCCCCTTCTCCCTATAGAGAGAACACAAACCCGATCAAACCTACATCCCCCGTTTCCACTCGATTCGGACCGCGGACCGGCGTGTACCTGCCGAGTCAGCTTCTTTCGTCGCCTTTGGGGGCGCCCCTGGGGTGACCACACTGTTTTGGCCGAAAGGCTCGCACCAGCCATTGTCTTTGCAGTAGCCGTTCACCTTGGAGGAAGAATAAGTCTGGATGATCTTCAACTGTTCTTGAAGGAGCTCCTGGCCAAACTGCCATACTGAAGGATTACCTCACACAGATTCAACAAGCTCTTGAAATCACTGGACCTCCAAACGCCAACCG